ATGGTGCACACGGTTCTTCGTATTCGCTCACTTAGGCCACGCGAATCTGCACGTATACGTATACGTAGATTGGCAGAGGCCCAATATTAGTCATCCGACACGCGGATAGTTTGCACTCACCGAGCCGCTACGTGCGCGTCTTCGACTCGAGACTCGACATGGAAGTCCAAGTCGAGATCCTTATCCGTTTGGATGTGCTCGATGGACGGCATCGGGTCCGACTCGAAGGTACCCAGCCGACGAATAGACCCACCGCGTGCGTCGCGGTCGTCCCTTTGCCAAATTTCCGTTTCGTTGCTCCTGGCGAGAAAAGTCGTTCGGTTCGAGATTCGATTCGGCTCAGATCGACTACGTTTACGTTTGTTCAGATCATTTACGAGGGAAAGAAGCACGAAGCGTTTTCCTTTACCATCGCGCGTCCGGTTACTCGCTCGATTTCGTTAAAATCTTTCACGTAACACGACGACTCTCTCTCTCTCTCTCGGCGGGTTTTTGTTCTTTCCGTTCGTTGGTTGTAACGGCCTTCGGGAAGACCCCTACCCGACCGGAAAACGAGCCACTCAAACGTAGACGAGTGCTTCTTCTCTCGTAACAGACGACGAGTAACGAGACGACGGTCTTGTTACCTTGCCATTTCCTTTTCAGTCGTGTCGGTTAGTTTGCTATCGGAGTGTCGATACGATACGCGGATCGCTACTTGGACATTTTGCGCACGTTTGTCAAAGTCACAACGATCAAATGGTTCCTTCGTTTGCAGCTTTATTTTGTTGCTCCTCGCAAATACGTAGAGAAATGAAAGGTATAATCAATATAGAGGATCGCCATTAGGAATGCCGATGAGACTATCGGTTAACGAGTTCCCTACGAGTTCGTGGAAGGTAACTGCGGCATTCCCAAACATATCGAGAAAACGATCGAATCAATAAACGAGTCTTCCTCTTGGTCATTATTTTCCCTGTAACTGTTTGTCAGTGTTTTCCTTAATTTTTGTCTATTTTCAAGGCGGCCGCCGTGTATTCACTTTGGAACGAAATTGAAATTTCGTTGACCGTGGACTGTGGGCGGGATTCGATCAAGGTCTGGCAGGAAACAGCCGAGATTGAATCGCGTGTTTCGTTTGGTTCGTCGAGTTTGATAAAGTCGTACGTAAATATCGTTTTCGCGAACAAACGGTTTCCTATGGAAATCGCAGAGACTAGAGGGCAAGAAGCCGGCCGAGACACGGACAGAGAAATTACGCAAATATTCGAAAGTTGAATAATCGCGTACGAAAATCTTGGAAACGACGACCTCGATCGTCTCGTCTTCTAACGAAGGTTCAGCAATTCCTGCAAAGCATCGATCGGTATTGAACCGCAATCGCTCACGCTGATGTTGCTGTACGATTTCCCGTTTCAGATTCAATTAATCCAGTACTCTCCAACGGAAACAGCCTACTTGAAAGTTTCCGATTCGCTCGCGAATCATGTCCTCGCAACACACAGCTCCATTATTTACACGATGCTACACGGTGATTTAATTAATCGCGCAAGTTCCCTTAACGCAGCCGCGGTAAGGGATTTCCATCGGAACCTTCGATCGAGAGGGTTGCTCGTAAATAAATATACTATTTCATCTTATTTTTGTGGTTTCTTTTGGCGGGAAACTACGATCTCTGGCCGCGCGTTATACATTTTAATTTCTCGTTTTCTCCCATCTGCTGTATTCGCGAGGTGTCTCACTCTCAAGAGAAATCGCAGACAGCTGCTCTGGCAGCGTTCAACGCGGCTTTTGTCAAAATTTTATTCGCGCTACACGATTTTCAACCATTACGAATAGTCAAACTTAAAAGAGCTAAGCAATATCGCAAGGATAAATAAGTAGTAGTAGTCGGAGTAGTCGCAGCGCTATGCGGTGTACTCGGTACTTGGTACACGGTGCGCAGCGCTATTCGCGCAATCGTAACTGTTGCATTTCGTCAACAAGGAGCACCGCCATCGTGATAGGCCGACGCGCGAGTTATTAACGACGATCGATCTAATTTTAATCTCGTCTCTCGCCCACGTTGCCGCGTTCTCTGGGGGAAAGCGAGGCGTCTGAGTCTGGTCGTGCGACCTCGCAGGGGACACTGCTCCTGCCGCGCCCTTATTGGTCACCGGCCTACGGCGCCAACGGAAAATATCCTCGACTTCTTCGTTGTCTTTCCCCTCCGCTCGTTCCCAGACGAGCCGATGGGAGAAGCTGAATGCGCCATCTCTCGATCGACGGAAACACTTTGTCCAAAGAGAGACAAAGCCTAACGAATGCCTAACGTTAACGAGACGAAGAAAGAGAGGAAAGGAAGGACTCCGAGTTCGAGAAAGATGCATTATGTACTCCACTTTAAGGAAAAGACGTGTGTACTTGACTTTAAGAATATATATGTATATCGAGCGTTATTAGAGTGCAAAGGATGGAATATTGCACCGTCTTACCCTAGAAACGAGAAGCGTAAGGAACGACGGATTTAAGGTGTTTCGAATCACTTTCGATTATTCGAGATGATGATTTTGAAAAAAGCCAAGAGAACATTTCAGAAAGTAAATATATATATATATATATATATATATATATATATATATATATATAT